ATCACATTTCAACTGCAATGTGGAGAAGAGTGACAGGGAGTCAGGGGGCTCTGTTTTGAATACAGATAATGAAAGGAATGGTGGTCTGCTTACAAGTAGCATGAAGTAGAGGAAGAGTTGCCTGGGTGGGGCTGAAAGGATGTATTTTAATTTTGGAATGTCTTAGCTTGAGACGGGGAACCTGGTAGAGATGCCTCGCCACAAACTGGGCAACTATAGAATTTGTATGTTACAGATGAAACCTTTGGAGTAGATGAGACAGCAAAGTGAGAATAGAATTGGTGAGAACAGAATCTTGAGGAATGCCTACATTTACATGTAGGAGTAGAGGCAGTGGAGAAAGAGCAGTTAGGGAAAGAACGGAGGGTGCAAACAAGGGAAGAGAAGGTCAAAGAAATAGAGGGGGAAAAAAAGTGAGAAAAAGTCAAGTGTTAAATATCCCAGAGATAGTGGAAAATGAGCACTAAAAAAGGCCATTCTGTTTGGAGTTAGGCTGCTGGCAGATTTAAAGGGCAGAATATGCAATATATATATAAGGTGCTTATAGTTTAATACAAAGAAAAGTGCTGATTTTTAAAAATCTACTTAATCTAAGGCTTAAATGCCAAGTGTTTTGCTTAGCATCAGATAAACATCAAAGGAGCCAGTTTCTCTAGGTCAGGGTCCCATCAGTACATAACACATTACAGCTACGCAAATTGGAAGTACTCTAGTCCACTAAAAAGCTGGAATCATTTCTTCTAAACCCAAAATGGCAAGTAAGACAGGAATCTTTGAGTTGTTTATCTAGAAGGGGAGATGAATATACATTCTCAGATCCCTAAATGAATAGCCTGTGACCCTCAAATACATCTAAGGAGGTCAGATCTACAAGTTTTGTTTCCTTGGTTTTCAGTCAACAGACCAACCAGGCCAGTATTTATCCTGCACCCTAACTATAAAAATAATTTTGTCAAACAATGTGCTTTGTAAATGTCTTATTTCTCTTTCAGGGGTTCAGTCCATCAGAATTTTGCTGACTTCACTTTTGCCACTGGCAAAGTAATTGGATACATATTCACATTAAAAGGAGAAATAGATTCAAAGGTAGCCATCGATCTTAGCAGCAAAGCTTCATTAGCATTCTTACAAAAGCATTTAGGTAAGAAATTAACAATCTTTCACGACAGTAAACCAGGTGATTCTCAGGACAGCTGCTTATTTTAGTGTTACATTGATCCCATTTTAACTGTCTCTGGTTAGTTTACAATGTAACCTAGCAGTAAATCAGTTTGAAAACAAAAACTGGAGTTTAATTTTACTGCTTTGCATACTATATATCATAGACAGCACGTCTGCCTGTTAAAGAAACGTCTTTCTCTGAAGACTGGGGTGTACGCCCATCCTGAGGACAGAACAGTGCCTCAATCCCATCTCATTCAAGGGCACCCGCTGAAGCCATGTGGCAGCTCTCATGGAACACCTTGCTTCCAAATTCACAATGCAGTTTGGGTAATTTGTGATGCTATGCTGCCACCTAGAGGCACCGAACTGTATAATGTTCACAGAAGTGTAACGTGTTTATGAACATTTATGTTTTACAGAACTTGAGAAAGACTTTGATCGGTGGGATTCTTTGATTGAAGGGGAAGATGATAATCTTATTCCAGGGACCAACATTGACACAATCAGCCAATATGTCAGTCTACAGAATTCTACAAGAATAGAGAAATACAATTTAGACAAAGCACTTTTTTAAAGTCTTGCTTAGAGACTATCTTAAAGTGTGTGTGTGTATGTATGATTTTAATGTACTTTTCTCAAATAACTTATATTAAAAAGTGTAGGCTATCCCATAATAATGATTGAAGTCTAGATTAAGATTCTTTTTTCATTTAAATGTGAAGAAATACTGCTGTATATAAAAATCATAACCAGCCTAAATTTTAATTTTACTAAAAGGATCCTTTTTAGTGTCAAAATTAATAACTGCTTTTATATTACTCTAATTGAAAAGTATATTAAAACAAGGACAATGCCAAAGAAAACATGTTGATGAAATAACGCTCCCTAAAATTACAATAAAAACAGATTTCTTGCCTCTTTTTTCTGTTATGAGTAGAACTGAGTTTTAGCAACATAGTATTCTAGGTAGAATTTGGCACTACTTCCCTCTGACTCTTGGTCATGTTAAGAAAATTAGATCAAGCAGATAATAAAGCCATTGTTTTACCACAGGATTAGTGATTCTGTACAATTTCAATATGATGACTAAATGGGGAGCAGATAAGGGAAAGAATTTTGGAGACAAAGCAAAGGCAGAAGATTGAAGTGGATTAAAACACAGTTGAAAATTTCTGGGACTTCCACTCCTAGGAATTTACCCAAAGAAAACAACTCAGATTCAGAAAGACATATGCAGCCCTATGTTTATCGCAGCACTATTTACAATAGCCAAGATGTGGAAGCAACCTAAGTGTCCATCAGTAGATGAATGGATAAAGAAGATGTGGTACATATACACAGCAGAATACTATTCAACCGTAAGAAAGAAACAAATCCTACCATTTGCAACAACATGGTTGAAGCTAGAGGGTGTTATGCTTGGTGAAGTGAGTCAGGCGGAGAGGGACAAGTACCAAATGATTTCTCTTCGTTTGTAGAGTATAACAACGAAGCAAAGCTGAAGGAGCAGAATAGCAGCAGACTCACAGACACCAAGAAGGGACTAGCGGTTACCAAAGGGGAGGGGTGGGGGAGAGAGGGAGAAGGGGATTGTGGGGTATCATGATTGGTGTATATGGTGTGTGTGGAGTCACTAGGAAGACAGCGTAGCTCAGAGAAGATAAATAGGGACTCTGTGGAATCTTACTGTGGACAGTGACTGCAGTGAGGTATGGGGGGGACTCGATAATAAGGGTGAATGTAATAACCACATTGTTTTTCTTGTGAAACCTTCATAAGAGTGTATATCAATGATACTTTAATTAAAAAAACAGTTGGAAATTTGTTTACAGTCACTTTAATGCTTTATCTGACAAATTTACTTATTAAAGGAAGGTAAGACAGCCCAGAGATTCCAACTAAAACACATTATTCACCCAAAGGCCACAAAGGAAACATTCAGAATAACTTTTAGACTGCTTTATTTTCCAATTTATTTTATTTAATAAATGTTTTTAAAATCTCTATGCAGTAGTGGAAGTCAAATGGAACAATAAATGGAAGTAAAAAGCTAACTTAAAAATTATGCACTTACACATCTGGGAGCCATAGGAAGTGGTTTTTTTGTTGTTTCCCAAGAGGTACAAAAATATATGCCACTCATTAGCTGAGTATATTTTAGTTTAAGTATGGTCTTGTTTCTATGAATTCTCCATAATTAAGCTTAATTTACCATGTGTGAAGAGGGTTAGTCAGTAAGCAAACCTGGTTAACTATTCCACCCCTAACCCTTTTGCCCTTAATAAGTTGTGTATTCCAATTTGGCATTTCAGGCCTATTTTAACGTTTTAAGGTACAAAATCACTCATTTGAGATATCTGATATTCTATCCTCTAGCTACTTAGGTTAAAATTTTTTAAATAGAGACTTAAACTCCTTAGCACAGAACTGAGGACTTTTTCTGTAGTCTGGCCCTAACACCTTCTCTGACATTTCCTCCCAGTATTTCACAACTCTGTCTACTACACGAATGAACCAAATTTGTCTATTCATTATCCCAGGGACAAGCAATAAACTCATCTCCCTCAACTGTGTTTGATTCAAATCTTCCTTTCTACTTGTTGAAACTATACCCAGTTTTTAAGCTCTTATTCTCACTATCCCCATCAGGCTTCGGGGGCTGATAATGTTCCCTGTGCATACGTCTGTCCCTACTGTCACAGCAAACCATCTGATTCACTTTAGAAATGGGTAGCCCTGTTGCCTTCGTGTACCATCCCATAGCACCCCCCCTTAAGATCCTTTGTTGGTGGTACATGAAGACGATGACAGGAGAAAATAAGTGCTGGAAGGATCCAATGAGTTCCAGCTAAAAACTAACCTAGCACACTATTGCTGAGTATCTTTCTGGGGAACAAGGAAATATTTATTGAGTATCTTCTACTTTCCAAGTACCTTACATGAATTATGTCTAATCTTAGAAACACTGCAAGAAACATCTTATTATTCCCATTTTACAGGTATGGAAGATAAGATAAAGCTCAAAGATGTTACATAACCAGCCCAGGTCACATATCTTGTAAACTGCATATTGCTAGAACCTGTTTCCTAAAGCCAGGATCCATACTTTGCATACTCCCATCTATACAAAGCCATGTTTTAAAGGCATGGACTTTAAAGCTAGATGGATCTGGGTTTGATCAAGCATCTGAGACTCACTAGGTCTTTGACATTAGGCAAGTTATTTAACTTCTCTAAAAAGCTTTAATTTTCTCTGAGATCTAATCTGTGCATCTCAGAGTCAAGGATTAGATGACAACATGCATTTAAAGTACCAGTGAGTGACTAACACATAAGAGTTAACATTTAATATTACTATTTCCCCCATTATAGACTTGTGATTCCACTACAGATATTCCCAAACCAGATATTCCAGAATCCTATTTCCTTTTTCATGAAATGAGACCACCAGACCTTTAAGGATAAATTTTATTCAAATCTTGCATCACATTAGAATACTTCCAAATTCAAACATAATATTAGTCAAATGTTTAAACAGACAAGTCAAAGTTGCAGAAACAGAACAAAATATTCTGAAGAAGTTACTATGAACAAAAAGTCATCCTCCTAAGTAGCATCGTATAATAGTTATAAACCTATCATTTTTAATTTAAAACACTTTATTCAAAGGAAACCATAGTAGTTTTTTTAAACGTTAGTAATGTGTTAGCAAGTTGAGCAAAATAAACCTCCCAACTTATTAGAAACATAACACATTTAAAGGGAGAAGGAAAATCCCAGATCCACATGTGCAGCAATATCCCTAAAATACACAGCACAGTCATTTGAGAGCTATTTTTGTTTCTGACACATCAAAGTTTTAAAAAATGACAACTTCTTGTGATTACATGCTCTTAGTTTTCTCAAATACTCTGTTGGTCTGGATAAGAGTCCACTTGCTTAAGAGCAGTTTCTCACTGGCCACATCTATGGCTCCACCGTTAAATCTCCATCACCTTCAGACCCCTTTTCTGAAACAAGAAGAAAAAAACCTCAAATCGAGAAAGAAACATGAAAAGAATCAAACAAACTACATGGATGCCACCAAAAACATTTAATTGGGGAAATTTTGAAATATTAAATTTTAAGCAAATTAAAAATGGGGAGAAGGGACGTGAGTATTCTAATTATTGTAGAGAATTGTTCCTACAGAAATGTTTTTTCTCTTCTTAGTATTTTGGTTCTCACACTCTACCTATTATCAAGCAAAGTTTCTCTAAAAGATTATGAAATTGGCATATGTTGTATTTTGCTAGAATGACATAAACAAGGCTAATAACTAATTAGTCCTTATTCTCTGAGCATGTATATTTTTTACATACTGCAAAAGGCACCAAGAGCCGACAGCATTCACAATGTGCCTCAATTCTAAGAACAAGTGTGTTATTTATGTACAAGACTATGCCATAACCAGGTTATTCCAACAAATTGAATCTTATGTAGATAAACTAAAAATCCAGAAAAAATCCCAAGACATCCTTTAGCATGCAAAGAATGTTTGAATACTTGAACTAATTAACACTGAGAACATGCTATAATGTATGAATTTCTCAGATTCACAATCTAATTTTCAAGATGAATTCACTCAACAAACAAATTTCCTATGATATTTCAAGAAACCCTCTTCTTGGTTATTTCTCCCCATAAGCACATTTCACATTTCCAGCTAAAGAGTTTCATTTTTTTCTTTTCTCCTACTAACACCCAAGGACATTGATAAGCCATTTTGTTTGAGGATTCAGGGTAATGATATCTTTCAGATTTGGCTATCTGGGTGATAAAAGCATTTTAAAAACACAAGTTACCTTTAAGGGCAGTACTATCCAATGTCATGATGTAAAGATCTTTTCCCACTGTTTGGAATATAACCTAACAAAAGAAACCTCTGAATTAATACCAATTTTTTATTATAGACACAAAATAATCAAAATGGTAAACAACAAAAAACTAATTCTTTAAAAGTAGGGCAAACCGATTTCATAGTGAAGAATCACTTCAAGTACATTTTTTATTTTTCAAATATTCATTTCTCTGAAACATCTCCACTGGAGCATTCCACACAGGGAGGAAGGTATGCTTTTCCAATTTTAAGCTCCCTACGATCCACAACTTTGGAGTTTGGTGCATTGTTTACAGAGATGCTACTCAAGCATATTAACCACGGTGAGCCACAGATACTTTATTAAAGACTTAATAAAGGGTATTTCTCCTATATTCCATTCAACAACAAATAGCACTGTGTGCATGCATGATGACTATACAGAAATTAATTCATGAGACATATTCTTATGGTGAAATGAAATAGCTTAAATGAAAAAAAATTTTTTAAAAATGTAGTCAGACTTCCAGATCATAGTGACTTGATGTATCACAAAAATTAGTCATATGTAATTTAATACCTCATGATATTCACTTTTTAAGGAAAACCATTTTATTTGTGGACAGGCGTATCTCTCTTCAAATTTGAGAAAAGGGTCATTTAAATCTCATTAACAAACAAATCAAAACATATAAAGCCTTACCGATACTAGTTTCTATAGGTGCTACTTCGTGGTCAGTTAAAGCCAGAGGTAGTTGTGTCTATATTATTTTATGAACACTTTCAATCATCTTAAATGGTTCTGTTCTACTTGGCAGGTATAGAGCAGTTTATCCAAACAGAAACTTGTTGTGTAGATCTGTGTATTTGGTTGTCATTCTTGAAAATTAATGGATGGCAAAGATCAGAATGTAAAAGAAAGTTTTAGTAAATACTGATGCACCTTAAGTGAAGCAGGCTGTTATTTTTGACAAGTAAACAAAAAATGAAATTAACCTAAGGCAAAGAGAGATGTTCAATGATTTGTCATAGTGAAAAATTTCAAATGATCTAAATGTTCAGTACTAGGAGAAATGGTTTAATAAATTATTGACCATTAATGTCATGCCATGTTATATACATCTATGGCCTTCTGGCTGCAGCCAAATAGAGTAAGCTGACTATAGCCTCTCTTACACTGATTACAACTAAAACATATAGAAAAAATACACAAAGCAACTACCTGCAGACTTTGAAAAGTAAACAGGAACAGGCAGATGGAAGAATGAAGAAAAACTTGAATAACAGGAATGAGTTTAACAGGTTTTTCTTTTTTTCCTCCATCACCTAATTTTAACGGGGGGTTGGACCAAATCAGCCCAGTGGGGATGGACAGCAAAACTGAGAAATCCTCTATTTCCAGTGGATTGGGAAAAGAGGCCCCTGAATGCTAGGGAGCAGGGAATAGGTGGGAAATCCCTTCATTGTTTTTCTTTCTTTCTCTCTCTTTCTTTCCTAGTCCCTCCCTCCCTCCCTCCCTCCTTCCCTCCCTCCCTTCCTTCCTCTCTTCTTTCTTTCTTGTTTTTCAATTTTTTTGCTTCTGGCTGGTCCTGAGAGCAGCCCCAGCTACTGCCTGGGGACAGCAGTAACAGTGCGGGCACCTGAAGATCTGAGAGAAGACTCTGGCCAGTGGAACTGGGAAAGGGGCCTTCAGTCCATCTGGAGGAGGAAGGGAGAATTATCTTCTCCTCTTTTCTCTATTTACTTCACTCCAAAAGTGGGCTCAGTCTGCCAGCACTGCAGGATAGCACAGAGGGAATCCTTGAGAGAGACATGCTTTCTGTCCAGAGGGCCAGGACAAGGGGTCCCTACAGAGGAGGAAGATAGCCCTTGAGCCAGAAAGTGTGGAAGAAATCTCAGAGAGGAAAGAAATGGAGAATTCTGAACCTTAATACCATAAAAGAACTGATATAAGTGTCAAGGTTACCCCTGAACTATGCATATGCAGAATAGAACCACTTAAGCATAGCAGTCTTTAACAGCCTATAAACCACTACCCATGTCTCTGAGAGGCTTGTGTCCTGGGCAGACCTGAACATCACAGCAAAGACTCAGAAAACTAGACCGACGTGGGAACCATCAAACACAGAGGGAGAGAGAGAACTTGTGGTGTGAACCCAACTGATTGATGACCTGCTAAAAACAAATCTTCAATATTTTCTAGAGATTTCCACAGGATCCAAAGTCTTGCAGCATCATATTCAAAACATTCAGGATGTAATCCAAAATTACTCATCATACAAAGAACCAGAAAAAGCTGATAATTTCTCAAGACAGCAGATGCAATCCCTGAGATGACCAGATAAGGAACTATCAGGCAAAGATTTTCAAGCAAGAGGTCTAACAAATTCCAAACAGAATAAACTCAAATGCCCAGGTATTACAATAGCCTGGGAAAATGCCACCATATAATTTTAAATGAAGAACACAGAATGTACAACTATATGTATAATGAAATCAACTATGCTTCAAATACATGACCAACATATTCCACATAAACAGAAAAAATTACCAAAGAAAACCAAATTGATTGGTCTTTCTTTGATGGATGTATTATAGGTGACTGAAATGTTCACCATGTTAACTTTGCCATTTCCTCAGGTTTTCTGCATCAAAAGTATTTTTATAAAGGTCACAGACACCAAATGACTTTCAATTGTTAAATCCTGAAATTAAAATCAAGGAGTAAAACATTAATAACTAGTTTGCCTAAAGGAAAAGGAACACCTCACATAAAGGTCAGAAGCATTGATTTTGTTATTGATATTTCTCATTGTTATTACAGTATTAGTATTTTTTTCTCTATTATTCCTAAACACAAGGGTTTTGGAAATAGTTTAAGTAGCCTTTAAAAATGAAGGCAATGATCTCATTGATTACTATTTGTGTAATTCTATACCCCAGATGGACTCTTATCCAACTCAGGTATGCCATTCCAGACATTCTCAGGGTTCACTATCTCCTTCGCACCATTTGAAAGGTTCAAAACCTACAAAAGAAAATAAAATATTTAATACAAATTGGTAGTTTCCAAAAACGAGCAATCCTTTTTAAAATGAAATACTTTAAAAAGCAATGGAAATGATTTTATTAAATTTCAATCTTATGTTTCAACTCAATGGCACTTTAGTTCAAAAAACATACATTGAGTATCTATGCCGAGGGATCAAAGATGGATAAAATTTAGATCTCAAGAAGTTCAAAATTTGGTGAAGAAACAGGCCTCTCAGCAGATAATTACAATACAATGTAGGAAGTACAGACTTCTGCAGCAGGAAGTGTAGGAATATAATACAGGTATAAAGCCTTTATGGGTGATGGAGAAGAGATGGAGAGATTTAGAAAGTAATGGTAGTGAATGCTTCCTGGAAGAGGCAATGGCTGGAGTAAATGTTTTAAAGAAAAGTGGAAATTAACAAGTTTGGGAAGGTGACAGAATACAAGTAAATAGAAGTGCATTATTAAATATATCAAAGAAGCCAACTGGAAAAGTATATACAAGAGAAGGTAGTTTGATGTCCATCTGATATAACGTACACAACATGGAGAAGTAGAAAGCTAAGGCTGGAGAGGTACATGGACACGCAACCCCAGGTCCTCTAGAGGACAATGCCATGTTAGTGAGCTTGACTTTTCTATTCTAGACTAGCAGTGCTCAAATTCTAAAGTGCTCAAATTTTAATGTTTTAAGAATGCATATTGCTGGCCTTACCCCAAGAAACTCTGAGTCAGCAAGGCAGGGCATGGTCTGGGGATCTACAATTTTAGAAACACACCAAGTGATTCTGATTTAAGTGGTTTTCAGATCACAGTAGAAACACAGTGAACTGGAAGTGCCCAGGAAATGTTACACTCAGGAATGAAGAAGTCAGATCTGCATTAGGCAAACTTCACACTGGCAGTATGGAGGATCCATGAAAGGAAGACTAGAAGTAAACCAAATACAAGGTCATTAGAGTAACCTGGTTTGAAAGGAGGGACTTAACCAAGGCAGTGGCGTTAGGTATAAAAAGTTTTAACTAAGAGATAAGAAGTGGAAAGTGTGGAACTTGGTGACTGATAGGATTTCAGGGTAAAGGGGATGAGAGAGCCAAGGATGACTGCTTGCTAAGATATTTATATGTGAACTTTCTAAATGATTTTCACACTGAATCAAATAATCAGGGGAACAAACAAGTGAAACTGTTCAATTGAATTTTCTAGTCTGATAAAGTTTGGTAGTATTTCCTTAGCAGTCTGCAAGTACATGTTTAGATAAAGTACTTCAACTTTACTTACCCTTGTGCCTTCTTCAGCTATTTCCAAAATCTCACATTTAGACCATGTGCTTCTTAGGCTTGACCACACAACACATTTGGAACCAACGGTAAATCCCTTCAGAGGGTAAGTGTTCTCTGTTTGAGCTGCCAAATTGAATAGAGTAAAACCCAATGCATGCCTCCTAAGCCTTTAATGTGAGCTATACAAACAAAGCATTTCCTTAATTTGCATTTACTATTATTCCTCTGTAATCAATATCGTATCTGGTGTTTGTCCTGCCTCCTTGCCTCAATTTTATTTTAAATCCATCCAGGGCTCTCTTTCCATAGAATTCCTACTACTTTCCTCAAAAAACACCACCATCATGTAATGTGTTTTGCAAGGCTGTGAATCTGATTCCTAACACTGAAATTACTACCAAAAACTTGTTATTACTGCTACGTGTGGTGTGGTCTATGTTTACAGCAGTCATTTCTCTAGTGAGGCAGCATATTGCAAGTGAGCAGACATTCTTATCACAAAGCTACTACTTATTATTATTAAAATGTGGCAACGAGGAACAAAAATTTAAGGCAGCATTTAAATAAATTATCATAGAGCCACAAGATGGCATACTATGGATTTAAAATATTTGTAAAGTTATTTCAGGGATTAAAAATGCAGGATTCAACAGTGTAAGATAGTATGATCTCTATTTTGTTTTTGAAACTGTATGCAAATTGACATACACAGGGCAAAAGACAACAGGAAGGGAGTAAAGCACAGCATTAATATCGTCATTTCTTGGTGGTAGGAGTGGTGAGTTTCAGTCTCCTTAGTCTACTGTTTTCTCTATCAGACACAATGACTCGAATTTAATAATAGAAAAATTGACATTTAAAATGTTTAACTTTATTTTTAAAACCCTAAAAGTTAGCCATTTCATGTAATATTTAAATCTTATTAAGTAGCCAAGAAAATAGCTACTTAGCAATAGTAAAAAATAATGTAAAAGCCATAAAAATAGCAAAAAATCATCATTTATAGAATATTAATGACAATAAATGCCCTCTAACATTATCTTATGGCTGTTAACTTTTTTGGTCCATAGGGGCTCCCTACATCTGGCTTTGAGTTAAGGCTTTCTAAGTGCATGGCAAGGCATATGCATGAAACAAAACAGTTGAATTTGAAAAATCTGCTAAAATGATCTCTGTCACCAATTCATGCCTATAGTAGTGCTTGGCAAAGGAACACTATGCTTTTTTAAAAAAACTTCCCAAGAAAGATAACCTCTTGATTTTAAAGTCAGTTTACATTTCAAGTAAGATTACCTTTGGAGATACACATTTTAAGCACTCTAGTTTTAAACAAGTAAATCAGCATTTCACCCAGCATGTAAAGTATTACTTTATACTGACCTCACAACTTAATTTCCCTATGTTTAGAACACCCCTCATGAAATCCAAATCTGATCTTCTATTCAGGTTTTAATCTATTTCTCCCGAAACTGATTTTTTAAAAATTCAAATGAGAATTGTTCTCTTTTAAGACAAGTACTTTTGAAAGACATGGAGTTAAATGAAAGTGAAAAAGAAAAATTCACATACCTAAGGCATGATCTTGTAAAGCCTTATTGTGTTTTCTTCCATCTCTGGATTCTTCAGAGAACAAAGAAGTCAGGGATGCAGCAGCATCTCTGCTTGTATGTTCTGTAAGTTCTTCTTGATGTATGTTCAATCGAACCTGCATTTCAGGATCACACTTCTCTCCATGGAGACGCAGTGGTAACCTATGCTGGTCATCAAAATATTCCACGCAGTTTGATTTTCTCGTATCCTCAGCACACATGGGTTCTTGGGCTTCCTGACTAACTCTTAAAGACAAAGGGTTTATTTTATCATCTAGACACAGCTGGGCTGTAGATAATTCTGGCTCTGGCTGCTTCTCGGCTTCACTGTTGAGGGGAAGCTTCGCTGTCAATGGTGGCAGGACAGCTTCTTCTGTGTCACAGCATTGAGGGAGTAGGGCCATCAGAGATGCCAGGCCTAGCTCTGCTTTTTCTTCATCCCCAACTAGAGAATGCTGTAGCTCAATGGATTCTAGTTCCAAGAATTCTTGTGATTCATCATCAGGAGAAAGTGGCACCTCAAGTGAAATCAGTTCTAACAGCTCCTTTGGTTGACCAGCACAAGGGGATGATGTGTTAAATCCTGTCATTAGGTATTCGTCATCAAACTTTGCTTTGTCAACCAAATGGCACTCTACTTTACCTTCCAGTGCCTCAGTCCCAATTTTTTCTTTATCTGGGTGTTCAAAAGCTTCAAACAGGTCATCAGGTTCAGAGTCACAGAATTTACTTTGTTTGCTTTCCATAACGTTTAGATCGTTTTCGATTCTTTCAGAGAGCTCATCCATCTGTGGTTCCACATATAGTGTTTTACCTTCTCCAGCTTTACTGCTCAGTTTCTCATGTCCAACATCAGGACTGAGGCACTCAAGTGTTTCCTTTAACCCTGGGCCATTTTTCTCATAGAGCAGATCACTGTTACTCATACCAATCTTAGAATATTTCTTCATTTTCTCATTAATACTTTCACCTTTGCTTTTCAGATCAACAACTGCTAAAGGAATATCACAAGCATCCCTTTTGATTTCTACTATTCTTATTTCCAACATATCTTCTGTTACTATTTCATAAAAATAGTCATTTCCTTCTTGAGGGCACATGCCTTCTGAAATATTAAATCCTGACAAGCAACATGGAAAGGCTTGCATGGGAACCACCAAAAGTTCAGAAGGAATGTTCCAGAGTGCTTTTCGGTCCACACAGTCTTCAATGTTTCCAAAGTCCACAAGCCTGACGGATACAAGGTATTCTTCATAAATATCGGTGATAAGTGCCCTATAATAATGCCCATCTTCTCTATGTCTCACTATGCAAGGATCTCCAATATGAGGACATGAGATACAACTTCTCCCATCTGTTAGCAGTTCTCCAGCAGTTTGTACTTCTTCTTCTAAATACTGAAGTATCTCAGTATCAGCAAATTGACACCAAAAATATTCAGGTCCATCTACCACAGTGGCATATGCTCTTATTACCTTCATCTTTGGATTATACCAGTTAAGAAATATTGAAATGTCTATGTCTGATCTGTTGACAGACTGTGAACTGATATTTTTAATTATTTGGGTAGAAGGTCCTATTTGAGATTTTTCATGGAAAGCATATCTGTTAATCATATCTTCTGCTATGATCCCATGTTCATCAGCAAGAATAACTTCCCATCTGTCTTGAAATTTGAGAAATTCACATCTTATCTGAGCCTCATCTGTCCTTTGAGAAAAGTAATGCATCATTTCCTTACAGTTTAAAATCTCAGGAACCCAACATCCTCTTAAGGAGCAGTGAATGCACAATCCTGGTAATAGTGCATTAGTAAGGTCAAGCTTGCCTATCTTGTTAGTATGAACCATAGACATATTGCCATAATCTATAAACTGTACAGAGACAAGGTCATCTGACTCTTGTTCCATGACCATGGCACGATACCATAAATTGTCTTCTGGAAAAATGGCACACACTAAATCTCCTCCTTGCAGCGGTGGACCTGCATAATATTCAGGCCTTGCTCTAATATCATTTAATCTCTCTGAAAGACAAGTAATTTCAGCTTCATCGTCCATTAGCTGAACATAAAAATCAGAAACATCATTTATATGAGAAAGATATACAGTTGTTTTAAATCCAGGCAGTATAGTCTTCTGAGGGATCTCAGAAATTTTTAGAGGCAAATCTTTGCTGTATGAATCTCCTGTTTTTCTCTCTGAAAGAGTACCTTCTAGTTTTGTGACTTTCAAAGGTGGCTCAGCAAAATTTTCATCTTTCTTTTCTATTGTTAATGGGGACACTTGATTATTTTTATTTTCCACAGAGTCCTGATATGGAGTGATTAAGGTTGCCTTTGTTGAACTTTGTAAGAGTTTGGGCTCCTTACACACTAAGCTGGCCTTAGATTCTCCCAGCATCTCCACACTGTATGACTTGTTCTCTGTTTTACTTAAATACTCTGTTGGTGACAACTTCTTATTCTCCTGTTTTACTTCAAGTGTTTCGGTTGCAGAGAGGAGGGCTTCTTTTTTTCTTGTCCCACCCTTATAACCAAGTAGCCTTAACTTCTCATTAATATTAGCATTAATTTGAATACTATGATCATATAGTTCTATAATCAGTCTTCCATTTGGATCTTTTGCTACGACCAAAGCCTTCAATGACTTATCTAAAATAGTCTCCTTTAACCATGTTGTAACTTCTTCTGGTATATGATCAGGAATATCAGATAATAAACATTTAATAGCTTGCATGGGCAAAAGTAAGACATCATATGCATCACTAGGTATTGGAAGCAGATCATCCGTTGTTACCACATAAACATTCCCAAAATCAACAAAGAAGACTTTACTTGGTTCTTTTTCTATTATTATACCCCTATACCAGATTCCATCAGTATACTTGGCAAGACACAAGTTCCCAGGAATCAAGGGAGATGTTTTTAAATTCAGCAAAAGTTTACTTAACTGTGTAATATTACATGACAACTGTTCTAAAATATTTGCATTTTTTTCCAGTTGGCAATAAAATGTCCAAGGGTCATCAACATGTGTTATATACACTGATTCTTCACTTCCAATTCTCATATCATGTGTTGAATAGTAATAAGAATGTAGCTGAACAGAGGGCTCCAGAGGTTTCAGAAGCTTTACTCGTCTTGCAAGTCTCTTTTCTACCAAAAAATGGCTTGCACTCTGAAAGGGTGTTAGCAAATCGACGACCAACAGTTCTTCATCATGTATTGAAGCCAATGCAAATATTGTGCATTTTAATTCTAGATTGTCTTCCCATGCATTATCCACAAAGTTACTAAAAGCTTGTATTGCCTCTTCATCCCAAATAAAGGGATTTGGACCAGTTGGTTGAATTAAATTATAAAGACTGCACCTAAAAGCCTGAGCCTTCACTTTGAGAAACTTTTCACTAATTGAATAAATATTCTTCACAGATACCTTGTCTTTGTCTCCATAATCTACAAATATTACATTGACATGCTCTGAATATTGTGCCCCACTAATCAGAGCTCTGGACCATTTTCCATTTACTGTTCGTTTTGCTAAGCAAGCAGGAATGGTTCCCTGGTAAGGAGTAGCTGTCTTCTTACAATAGTCCTGAATATTACACATCAGAGTTTTAAGTTCTTTTATGTTCCTGGTCAGCTGGCACCAGAAATGGCCAGGGTTTTCAATGTAAGACACTTTGACTTCTACTGTACTTCCAACTTCTAGCTCTCCTTCACAAGAGGAGCCTGGCTTATTTTCCAAGAAATTCCGTATAAGAGAAGAATAAACAGATACTCTTTTCTCTTTTTCCTGCACAACCAGTCCAGTTGAAACATTTGTAACTGTTGGGCCAGTCAAAACTTCTGAAACAGATGTAGTTTTATTATTCCTCTTGGCTTTTTGTTCTACCTCCATCTTCTTGGCAGAGGATGTTTTGTTATTTTCCACAGTAAAATGGTTTGAAACATGCCCTGGAGAGTGGGCACTTAAGGGAATATTTTCCTTTGTTTCAAATTCCTGATACTTGGCATATCCAGCTTGTGCAATTACCTTACTAATGTTTTCTTCCCCTGCTCTTGATTCATCCAGAATCTCAATAACATATTGATTATTGTGCTTAGCAAGGACATGGATAACTAATTCTTTGTGGAGCACAGTCTTTTTAAAAAAGGAAATTGCTTCCTCGCTCCAGTTTTTTCCCAAAGGCCAAATATCAGCTAGTGTGCACTTCAGAGCCAGTTTGGGGACTTGCCTGAACTGAGGCAGCAGCATCCTCATGTCATGCCAGTCCACATTTTCTGAGTTGCCTTGGTCAACTAAAAACACATCCACTCTCTTGTCATCTAATTTGGTGATGATCGCCCGATAATAGCCATTTTCTTTCCATTTGACACAGCAGAGGTCATCAGGTTCAGGTTTCAGAACTACACCATCCAACTTACTGGCTGAAGAATAGAAACTGCACATTCTCTTCATCAATTTGCTGAAGGTGCCATTGTGTTTCCTCAACCTAATCCAAAACTCAGAAGGATTTTCAACAAACTCTACCTGGACATCATAGAAGGCATTTATCTTTAACTGGATAGATTTTAAGGCTGGGAGTGAAATATCTTCTTCCATTTCTTTAGCAGGAGACTGAGAGTGAAGACCCCTTTCTGCTTCCTCCTCCTCTTCCTCCTCTCTTCCCTGGCCCTGAAGGAATCTGTCCACCAAGCAACAGGACTGTACGCCGAACGCACAGTTAAGATTAATCCCATCTTCTCTATACAGGGTGACATAATACACATGTTCAAAGGAACAATAAAACTCGATCTTTGCATTCACTGCCTGGCCCAGGATCAGTGTCTTCAGGTCACCCACCTGTGACCGAGACCAGCCTCCCCCACGGTCCCAGAGTCCATACAGGGCACAAGGGTAGGTCACCACAGGCATTCGAAAATATTCAGGCAGCAGGTAGCGGAGGCTACTGCAACTCACCAACTCCTTCCTTCCATAGTCCACGTGAAGCACCTGGGCACAGCGCTGGAGCGGAAATGTCTCGAGCAAGAGCGCCCTGTACCAGTGCCCATCCCATCCACAGGATGCACACGGAGAGCCCGGCTTATCTGGGCTCTCCTCTCCCTCGTGCCACGTGGCGCTACTGGAGTTCTCATCGCTTGTCCCCGTGGAACCCCGGTATGTCTGCACCATGCTCTCGGACAGGCGGTGGATCTCCTGTGAGAGGCTCCGGAGCTGGCAGTGAATGCGGTGGGGGTGGCACACCTGGGTCACCACCACGGGCTCCGTCATGCCCAGCTGCAGTTGGGGATAGAAGTAATCCAGGCCAGGCTGCTCTTGCTTGGGAAGGATTCTCGGGAGGCCTGGGGGCTCGGCGCCCATGCCAGCAGCGGCCGTGGTGAGGTAGGGTTTGAGTAGCAAGCGGAAGAGACTGTTGGGTACTTGCCGGGCCAGGCCAAGCTCCTGCATCTGCTGGAACACACTGGGCACCTCCAGGAGAACCAGGCGATGGAGGAGCAGCACGTCCAGGACCCGCCCGTGCACCTCCTTGCCCTGCAGGTTGCTAAGGAAGTCCACAGCACTGGACGGCCAGTACTGGGACTGGTCCCCGCCCGCGCTGCCGCCGCCCGCCGGCACAAGGCCGGCCAGCACGCAGCCCAGCACCGCGGAGGGCAGGTGGAAGAACTCGCTGCACCCCGGCGCCAGTGAGTCCGCGCTGGCCGTGATGGTGCGGCCCTCGTCAAGCAGGAAGACGCGACTCTCCTGTGCCTGGTGGCTAACCACGCGGCAGCGGTACCACAAGAGCCCCACCTGCACCAGGCACAGCTCCCCCGGCGAGAACAAGGCGCCGCCAAGCCCCCACGGGCCGCACGTGGCCGCCGCTTCCTGGATCTCCCGGTGCAGCCGCAGGTACTCGTCCTGCCGCTGGCCCACCAGCCCCCAGAGCTGCACTGGGATCACCTCAGGATGCACGTCCACGAAGGACACCTGCAGGACCAACGAGGACCCCGGCGTCGGCAGCCAGGGCGTGGAGCACATCTCTGTGGCGCAGCGCAGCTGCAGCTCACGGAGCTGTCAGGGTGGCGCGGCAGGCCCGCAAAGTCCCCGCAAGGAGATTCCCGCAAACCCCGATTCAAGGACAAAGGGACTGGGTGGGATGCCTGGTGAAGCGCCGACTGGTAGGACCCGGGCTACCTGACCAACCGCTCACGGTTGCGCAGACGCGCCGGTACTTGCAGCACGTGGAGCCCCCGCTTCCGGCCGCGGGCCGCGGGGGTTGGGGCGTCGCAGCGTCGCGGGGTTGGAGCGCGGCGGGGACCAAGGCTGGGGGTTGGCGTGGGGGCTGTTCATGGAACCATGAGGCGGCAGGATTGGGACACAACCTCCTCTCCCCAGAGTGCTAGCCTGGCAGAGAGCAGTGGGGAGGTCCACACCCAGAGTTACTTCTTCTCCCTGGCCAACTAACCCCCACCAAGCACCGTGCGACGTGCGCGGCCCTATCCTTGAGAGCAACGCGAAGTGGAAGCGCCAACTGCACGTTCCTGGGCGTCAGGCGCGAACTCTCAGCGGCCCGGGGGCGCTACCAGGCTGCCGCGAGGAGGCCCTGCTTGTGCTCATTTGGGGCCTGACCTGGAACAAGTTACCTACCCTCTCAGCAGGCTGCGGAGTGCAAGCTGTTGAACCTGTTGGATTGTGTGAATTGATAAGAGTTGTCGTGAAGGTTAGAATAAAGTGTGAGAGCCCATATGGAGACTTGTTAAATGCTTTCTTTCCCACAATGACCTTGTATGCGTCTCTTTGCCATTTGGTTTGCCCAACTCTGGCATCCCTACTTTGTAGGCATATATTCTTCATTTACTCACAGAGCTAGCAGAGAACTGGACACCTNGCTTGCATGGGAACCACCAAAAGTTCAGAAGGAATGTTCCAGAGTGCTTTTGGGTCCACACAGTCTTCAATGTTTCCAAAGTCCACAAGCCTGACGGATACAAGGTATTCTTCACAAATACCGGTGATAAGTGCCCTATAATAATGCCCATCTTCTCTATGTCTCACTATGCAAGGATCTCCAATATGAGGACATGAGATACAACTTCTCCCATCTGTTAGCAGTTCTCCAGCAGTTTGTACTTCTACTTCTAAATACTGCAGTATCTCAGTATCGGCAAATTGACACCAAAAATATTCAGGTCCATCTATCACAGTGGCATATGCTCTTATTACCTTCATCTTTGATTATACCAGTTAAGAAATATTGAAATGTCTATGTCTGATCTGTTGACAGACTGTGAACTGATATTTTTATTTATTTGGGTAGAAGGTCCTATTTGAGATGTTTCATGTAAAGCATATCTGTTAATCATATCTTCTGCTATGATCCCATGTTCATCAGCAAGAATAACTTCCCATCTGTCTTGAAATTTGACAAATTCACATCTTATCTGAGCCTCATCCATCCTTAGAGAAAAGTAATGCATCATTTCCTTACAGTTTAAAATCTCAGGAGCCCAATGAATGCACACTTAAGGAGCAGTGAATGCACAATCCTGGTAATAGTGCATTAGTAAGGTCAAGCTTGCCTTTCTTGTTAGTATGAACCACAGACATATTGCCATAATCTATAAACTGTACAGAGACAAGGTCATCGGACTCTTGTTCCATGACCATGGCACGATACCATAAATTGTCTTCTGGAAAAATGGTGCACACTAAATCTCCTCCTTGCAGAGGTGGACCTGCATAATACTCAGGCCTTGCTCTAATATCATTTAATCTCTCTGAAAGACAAGTAATTTTAGCTTCATCTTCCATTAGCTGAACATAAAAATCAAAAACATCATTTATATGAGAAAGATATACAGTTGTTTTAAATCCAGGCAGTTTAGTCTTCTGAGGGATCTCAGAAGTTTTTAGAGGCAAATGTTTGCTGTATGAATCCCCTGTTTTTCTCTCTGAAAGAGTACCTTGTAGTTTTGTGACTTTCAAAGGGGGCTCAGCAAAATTTTCTTCTTTCTTTTCTATTGTTAATGGAGACACTTGATTATTTTTATTTTCCACAGAGTCCTGATATGGAGTGATTAAGGTTGACTTTGTTGAACTTTGTAAAAGTTTGGGCTCCTTACAAGCTAAGTTGGCCTTAGATTCTCCCAGTATCTCTGCAGTGTATAACTTGTTCTCTGTTTTACTTAAATACTCTGTTGGTGACAACTTCTTATTCTCCTGTTTTACTTCAAGTGTTTTGGTTGCAGAGAGGAGGGCTTCTTTTTTTCTTGTCCCACCTTTATAACCAAGTAGCCTTAACTTCTCATTAATATTAGCATTAATTTGAATACTATGATCATATAGTTCTATAATCAGTCTTCCATTTGGATCTTTTGCTACGACCAAAGCCTTCAATGACTTATCTAAAATAGTCTCCTTTAACCATGTTGTAACTTCTTCTGGTGTACGATCAGGAATATTAGATAATAAACATTTAATAGCTTGCATGGGCAAAAGTAAGACATTATATGCATCATTAGGAATTGGAAGCAGATCATCCATTCCCACCACATAAACGTTCCCAAAATCAACAAAGAAGACTTTACTTGGTTCTTTTTCTATTATTATACTCCTGTACCAGATTCCATCAGTATACTTGGCAAGACACAAGTTTCCAGGAATCAAGGGAGCTGTTTTTAAATTCAGCAAAACTTTACTTAACTGTGTAATATTACATGACAACTGTTATAAAATATTTACATTTTTTTCCAATTGGCAATAAAATGTCCAAGGGTCATCAACATGTGTTATATACACTGATTCTTCACTTCCAATTCTCATATCATGTGTTGAATAGTAATAAGAATGTAGCTGAACAGAGGACTCCAGAGGTTTCAGAAGCTTTACTCGTCTTGCAAGTCTCTTTTCTACCAAAAAATGGCATGCACTCTGAAAGGCTGTTAGCAAATCGACGACCAACAGTTCTTCATCATGTATTGAAGCCAACGCAAATATTGTGCATTTTAATTCTAGATTGTCTTCCCATGCATTATCCACAAAGTTACTAAAAGCTTGTATTGCCTCTTCATCCCAAATAAAGGGATTTGGACCAGTTGGTTGAATTAAATTATAAAGACTGCACCTAAAAGCCTGAACCTTCACCTTGAGGAACTCTTCACTAATTGAATAAATATTCTTCACAGATACCTTCTCTTTGTCTCCATAATCTACAAATATTACATTGACATGCTCTGAATATTGTGCCCCACTAATCAGAGCTCTGGACCATTTTCCATTTACTGTTCGTTTTGCTAAGCAAGCAGGAGTGGTTCCCTGGTAAGGAGTAGCTGTCTTCTTGCAATAGTCCTGAATATTACACATCAGAGTTTAAAGTTCTTTTATGTTCCTGGTCAGCTGGCACCAGAAGTGGCCAGGGTTTTCAATGTAAGACACTTTGACTTCTACTGTACTTCCAACTTCTAGTCCTCCTTCACAAGAAGAGCCTGGCTTATTTTCCAAGAAATTCCGTATAAGGGAAGAATAAACAGATACTCTTTTCTCTTTTTCCTGCACAACTAGTCCAGTTGAAACATTTGTAACTGTTGGGCCAGTCAAAACTTCCGAAACAGACTTGGTTTTATTATTCCTCTTGGCTTTCTGTTCTACTTCCATCTTCTTGGCAGAGGATATTTTGTTATTCTCCACAGCAAAATGGTTTGAAACATGCCCTGGAGAGTGGGCACTTAAGGGAATATTTTCCTTTGTTTCAAATTCCTGATACTTGGCATATCCAGCTTGTGCAATTACCTTACTAATGTTTTCTTTCCCTGTTCTTGATTCATCTAGAATCTCAATAACATATTGATTATTGTGCTTAGCAAGGACTTGGACAACTAATTCTTTGTGGAACACAGTCTTTTTAAAAAAGGAAATTGCTTCCTCACTCCAGTTTTTTCCCAAAGGCCAAATACCAGCTAGTGTGCACTTCAGAGCCAGTTTGGGGAGTTGCCTGAACTGAGGCAGCAGCATCCTCATGTCATGCCAGTCCACATTTTCTGAGTTGCCTTGGTCAACTAAAATCACATCCACTCTCTTGTCATCTAATTTGGTGATGACCGCCCGATAATAGCCATTTTCTTTCCATTTGACACAGCAGAGGTCATCAGGTTCAGGTTTCAGAACTACACCATCCAGCTTACTGGCCGAATAGAAACTGCACATTCTCTTCATAAATTTGCTGAAGGTGCCATTGTGTTTCCTCAACCTAATCCAAAACTCAGAAGGATTTTCAGCAAACTCTACCTGGACATCATAGAAGGCATTTATCTTTAACTGGATAGATTTTAAGGCTGGGGGTGAAATCTCTTTTTCCATTTCTTTAGCAGAAGACTGAGAGTGAAGACCCCTTTCTGCTTCCTCCTTCTCTTCCTCCTCTCTTCCCTGGCCCTGAAGGAATCTGTCCACCAAGCAACAGGACTGCACTCCGAACGCACAGTTAAGATTAATCCCATCTTCTCTATACAGGGTGACATAATACACATGTTCAAAGGAACAATAAAACTCGATCTTTGCATTCACTGCCTGGCCCAGGATCAGGGTCTTCAGGTCACCCACCTGTGACGGAGACCAGCCTCCCCCACGGTCCTAGAGTCCAGACAGAGCACAAGGGTAGGTCACCACAGGCATTTGAAAATATTCAGGCAGCAGATAGCGGAGGCTACTGCAACTCACCAACTCCTTCCTTCCATAGTCCACGTGAAGCACCTGGGCACAGCGCTGGAGCGGAAATGTCTCGAGCAAGAGCGCCCTGTACCAGTGCCCATCCCATCCACAGGATGCGCACGGAGAGCCCGGCTTATCTGGGCTCTCCTCCCCCTCGTTCCACGTGGCGCTAGTGGAGTTCTCATCGCTTGTCCCCGTGAAACCCCGGTATGTCTGCTCCATGCTCTCGGACAGGCGGTGGATCTCCTGTGAGAGGTTCCGGAGCTGGCAGTGAATGCGGTGGGGGTGACACACCTGGGTCACCACCACGGGCTCCGTCACGCCCAGCTGCAGTTGGGGATAGACGTAATCCAGGCCAGGCCGCTCTTGCTTGGGGAGGATTTTCGGGAGGCCTGGGGGCTTGGGACCCATGCCAGCAGTGGCTGTGATGAGGTAGGGTTTGAGTAGCAAGCGGAAGAGGCTGCTGGGTACCTGCCGGGCCAGGCCAAGTGCCTGCATCTGCTGGAACACACTGGGCACCTCCAGGAAGACCAGGTGATGGAGGTGCAGCACGTCCAGGACCTGCCCGTGCACCTCCTTGCCCTGCAGGTTGCTAAGGAAATCCACAGCCCTGGACGGCCAGTGCTGGGGCTGGTCCCCGCCCGCGCTGCCGCCGCCTGCCGGCACCAGGCCGGCCAGCACGCAGCCCAGCACGGCGGAGGGCATATGGAAGAACTCGCTGCACCCCGGAACCAGTGAGTCCGCGCTGGACGTGACGGCGCGGCCCTCGTCAAGCAGGAAGACGCGGCTCTCCTGTGCTTGGTGGCTGACCACGCGGCAACGGTACCACAAGAGCCCCACCTGCACCAGGCACAGTTCCCCCGGCGAGACCAAGGCGCCTCCCAGCGCCCCCGGGCCGAGAGTGGCCGCCGCTTCCTGGATCTTTCGGTGCAGCCGCAGGTACTCGTCCTGCCGCTGGCCCACCAGCCCCCAGAGCTGCACTGGGATCACCTCAGGATGCACGTCCACGAAGGACACCTTCAGGACCAACGAGGACCCCGGCGTCGGCAGCCAGGGCGTTGAGCACATCTCCGCGGCGGCTGCGCTCACGGAGCTGTCAGGGCGGCGGGCCAGGCCCGCGAAGCCCCCCCGCAAGGAGATTTCCGCAAACCCCGATTCAAAGGACAAAGGGACTGGGTGGGATGCCTGGTGAAGCGCGACTGGTAGGACCCGGGCTACCTGACCAACCGCTCACGGTTGCGCAGACGCGCCGGTATTTGCAGCACGTGGATACCCCGCTTCCGGCCGCGGGCCGCGGGGGTTGGGGCGCCGCGGGGTTGGAGCGCGGCGGGGACCAGGGCGGGAGGTAGGCGTGAGGGCCGTTCAGGGGGCCACGAGGCGGCAGGACTGGGACACAACCTGCTCTCCCCAGAGTGCTAGCCTGGCAGAGCGCAGTGGGGAGGTCCACACGCAGAGTTACTTCTTCTCCCCTGCCAACTAACCCCCACCATGCGCCGTGCGCGGCCCTAGCCTTGGGAGCAACGCGAAGTGGAAGCGCCAACTGCACGTTCCTGGGCGTCAGGCGCGAACTCTCAGCGGCCCGGGGGCGCTACAGGCCGCCGCGAGGGGGCCCTGCTTGTGCTCATTCGCGGTCTGACCTGGAACAAGTTACCTACCCTCTCAGCAGGCTGCGGAGTGCAAGCGGCTGAACCTGTTGTATTGCGTGAATTAAGAGTTGTCGTGAAGGTTAGAATAAAGTGTGAGAGCCCATTTGGAGACTGTTAAATGCTTTCTTCCCCACAATGACCTTGTATGTGTCTCTTTGTCATTTGGTTTGCCCAGCTCTGGCATCCCTACTTTGTAGGCATATATTCTTCATTTACTCACAGAGCTAGCAGAGAACTGGACACCTAAAAGGAGGTTAGAGCATGACTTCATACTCCCGCTGCATCTACTATGGCAGAGGGCCTCTTGGTTAGACGCTTGTTCTTTCTCCCCACCGCAGTCTTCCAAGGTCCTTGGAAGACTGTATTTGTCAAGGGGGAGGGAGTGGAATGGAAAAGTGCGGGCAAACTATGAGTAGCTTGCAGAGCTGTGTCTGCATTAGATCTTTGTTGATAGTTAAGTTAGATGCATTCATGGGAGTTTCTCACACTTTTTCGTTTTACTCCTTCACGTTTTGAAATGTCATCAAATACAGTATCTGTGAGATCAAGACAGTGTTAATATAATCCTGGCTCAGTGTCTTCAATCTGTCAGGTGAGAGGTTACCCTGTGCTTCCAAAGCCTTCTGTGCTGACTTTTTCATGGCACTTTAATGTTGTTTTGCAATTGTCTTTGACCACTTTGTCATCCTGTCAACTTAAAAGCTCCTTTTGGCAAAAACTGTTGCATTCCTGAAATCTATCATGGGGCTAAGGCAATAAATAACAGCTGAATGAATAAATGAAAGAGTGAATTTTATTTTTCTAAGAAGTTAGACTTTAAAGTTAAGACTATAAACTCATTCTTAAAAATTCATTCTATTTTCCAAATTCAAATTCATGTTTCATATTCATGATAGAAGAAAAATACATATTTGGTTTAAAAATATCTAACAACGTCTAGCTCAAATGTCTCTTCCTCATGACCCTACTTGAACTGATTATTTCTTCTATTTGTATGCCTCTGTTATCTATCAATCTATCATATTTTGCATTTTTTAAAACCATTTCTCCTTTCTACCAGAGTGTGAACTTCTTGAAAGCAGGGACTCTTCTGTATTTTTATATTCTCAATACCAATCTAGCACAATTGCTGGGATTTTACAAACATACCAGAAGTGTTTAACAAAAGAATACATAGATAATCTGGCACTCTGTTCTTTATAGTGAAAGGAAGGAGTTTGTTACAAAATGGTCTTATTACTTGGAACTGTTTGATCATCACAGGCAACAATGGAGATTTCCCTTAATCCTCTATTTCAGTTCAAGCAGTATAACCAAACTCTGTTACAGAGACCACAGACTTGTATATATCCTAGAGGTCAAGGTGTATCATGTAGCCATTATGGGCTGAAAGACTTTTCCTCCCATTCTTCCAGGTATTTCCAGTGTTCCGCCTTCTGTGTCTGGGGTAGGTAGCTTTATTTTGCTCTGTCTTGATCTTCTGCTGGGCAGGGAACTTAAGAAATCAGATCACTGCACTGTGAAGACTAAGCTCCTGCTGTATATAGTTTCCATACTTTTATTAAGCAAAATAGTTTGAGTTCCATAGAACAGTAAAAAACTTCCTTCTATTAGGCTTCACAGCCCTTTGGCATCAGAAAAGGTGAGAGAGGGAATATCCTATCTTAATACAAATATTTAAGAGTTAAAAAAGAAGAGGATAAGGTGAGTAGATTGTGTCAGAGGTATTTGGATACTATATTGTGAATTATTTTAATATATTTTTATGGGAACAAGATGCAGAGTAATTGAGCAAAACAGATAAATAATGTTTATTTTGTGTTATTTAGATCTCCTTGTATCAAGAATTCTAAACAAAAACACAGTGTACTTTATGGTCTATAGTTTCTATGCCACTATTCAGTCCTGTTTAAAGATGTTTACTTAAATTAAAAAAAATTTTTTTTAATTCTTTAAGTGAGAAATACCCTGTTAAGAGAATGAAAAGACAAACTAAGAGAAAAGACAGGGAGAAAATATTTGCAAACCACATATCTGACAAAGGACTTGTATCTACAATATATAAAGTCTTCTTCTTCTCAAAAGTCAGTAAAAAAAAAAAATCCAGTTTGAAAATGGGCAAAAGTATGGAAAGACATTTCACTGCAGAGGATATACTGACAATAAAGAAGAACATGAAAAGATGTTCAAGGTCATTAGCTGTTAGGGAAAACAAAATCATAATCATACACACACCTGTGATAACAGCTAAACTAAAAAGCAGTGATAACATCAACACTGGCCAGAAGGTGGGGAAACTGGATCACTCTTATTGCTGTGGGAATGTAAAATGGTACAGCCACTTTTTAAAAATTAAATATGAACATGCCATATGACCTGGCAATTGAACCCTTGGGTATTTATCCCAGATAAATGAAAACTTTTGTTCATGCAAAAAGTGTACACAAATGTTTATAGCAGCTATATTCCTAATGGCCAAAAGCTGGAAACAATCCAGGGGTCCTTCAACGAATAAATGTTTAAATAGTGATGCATTCATGCCATGGGATATATACTACAGCAATGAAAAGGAAAAATGAACTCCTGATACATGCAACGCCTTGGAATCCTCTCAAGGGCATTTTGCTGAGTGAAAAAAAGAAACCAAAACCCAAAGGTCACATACTGTGTGATTCCATTTCTAAAATATTCTTTAATTAACAAAAATATAAAGAACAAATTAGTAGTTGCCAGGAGTTAGGGATGGTGGGAGAGGGGATGAGTGACTATGAGGGGGGTGGCATGAAGGAGCCTCGTGATCAGACTGTTCTGGATCTTGAATGTGGTGGTGATTACAGATGCTCACAAAGGTGATAAAATTGCATAGAAC